ACTGAACGCTTTAGAAGTATTTAATGAGTGAAGTGCAGCAGTGGGAACAAATATATGTGAACTACTTTACAGTGTGTATTTTAAGAATGATGAAAATGAAGAAATATGTAAAATTGCTTCATTCACTGGAATAAAACATTTTTTAATTGCCAGAGGATGCAAAATAGAGAGGGATGACATACCCTCTGATGAGGCGTGGTCACACTGCAATGCTTTTTCCTCCATTTTCCCATCCCTTCGGAATTTGGGGCATGCATGCAAACATGCCCTGCATGTTTTTCAAACTTCTGCAGTGGGAACCTCACAGTTGGCCAAGTGGGACTTGTCTCCCATTTAACCATTTAACCATTGCACTCTAGGGCCAGTCTAGAAGGCAATGTATTGATATTTTATTGTGCTATTTTTTTTACGGTTTTTGCCATAGGGCATGTGTGCTTGCCAGAGAGAAAGAGAGCCAGAAAGAGGGAAAGTGAGAAGTCACCCCCCAAGGAGATTGCCACACTACAATCCCTTCTCCTTCACTCTCCTTTTTTTTTTTGAGAGATTTTCGCTATAGGGCGTGTGCGCTTGCCAGACAGACAGAGAGAGACATAGAGACAGAAAGCGAGAAATCACCCCCTGGGGGGATGGTCACACCGCAATCCCTCCTCCTCCGTTCTCCTCGTGGGATCTTGGGCACGTACGCACACATGCCTGGCGTGAGTTTTAAGCCACCGGGTCCAGGACACGAACTGCGGTCGACTATGTGGGAGTCCAGCGACATAGCCATTACGCTAACTGCTGGTTCCCTCCTTCACTCTCCGTTTAGGATTTGCGGACATGCATGTATACTTGTCTGGCGTGATTTTTCAGCCTTCAGGTCCAAGACTTGAACCCCTGTCAGCTATGTGGGATTCCAGCACCTTAACTACCATGCCACTTGCTGGTCCAGTATCATGCTATTCTTAGGAAAGGACTATAGTTTCTATAGGTTGAGAAGATTCTATTCTCAAAGCAGCACAGAGTAAAAAATACTTAACAAAACTGAAAGTTGTCCCTATGAACCATGTTGACCCTTGAATTACATTTACTTACATAGAAAGGAAAGCTGTGTAGAGAGTGGCAGGTAGATATAAAGATGACCTAGATGTAATCCTTTCCTAGAGAATTGAAGTCTAGCTTTGGAATGAGAGTCTTGTTCACATTCTATCTTGAACTCTGTGTACAAGCCTGTAAGAATACATTCAACATGCCAGAAAAGCATTTGTAGGAAAGACTAAGTCCAGCCGTGAAAAATTCATGGACTCTGGTATTTGAATTGCTTTATAAGGGCTCGGTAGAATTTAAACAGGGGGGAAGTGCCCCGAGGCAAGCCATGGAGGAGGGAGATGACAGTGTATGTTCTGGCTTCTCTGTGTTAGCAAGGATTGCGCCCATTACTTTACTTGTCACTGAGCAGCTCACAGTGTTCTGGACAGAGAGGCCACTGAACAGATGCAGTCGCTTGGGTGGACAACGTCTGTGTATGTTGACAGTATACAGATTACTAATGGGTATTTGAATTGTTAAACAAGGCAACAGAGTCAGAAGCTATCTTCACATTATGATGTCTTGGCAGTCTGTTTTTATTTCACTTATTTTTTAGGCGTGGTCTCCTGTTGTGATCCTGCTGTCTCACCCGCTCCTCCCAAGTAGGGATAACAGGTGCAGTTACCACACCCAACTTTTCTTTAAACAGGGTCGCATTGAGTGGTCAGACTTGACCTCGTGATCCTCTTGCCTCAAGTCCTGGGTTGGCACACACCACTGTGCCCAGCTTTTAGTATGGACTGGGAACCCAGCCCAGGCCTCCCATGTGGTCTCAGCCTGCAGAGCACTGTCTCAACTGCCTGTGCTGCTGCAGTTGGGCCTTGGCAGTCTGCTTTATTTGTCTTACATTTTATGTGCAGTTTCAAATCTAATTACTGCGAATCAGGAGAAAAGACTTGCCTTGTAGGAGAAGGGGTTCGTTATCTGGCTCCATGACCTGATGGTTAAGGCAGCTGGATTTCATATGGCTGACCAAGGGTTTCAAGTTCCAGGAACTTGGCAGATTTAGAAAATACGAGTGCATGTGCATACTCAAAATACTGGAGAGTTGCAGGAGAAGGGATTGCAGTGTGACCATTCCCCATGTGTGGGGGGTGCTTTCTCCTTTCCCTCTTTGTCTCTTTCTGGAGAGTACACACACCCTCTAGCAAAAAAAAAAAGAAATCATAAGGATTTATATAGATAAAAGTTTTGCACATCTCTGAGATGAGTTTTTATTTTCTAGTCTCCTGATCTGTTAGGAATCTGTAAAAGAATAGTTGGCTTAAATAAATTTTTCCCACTTTGGGGGCTCTCTTTCTTAAAAAAGGATATATTTAAATACTGACTTTTTTTTAATTAGGAAAATTCCATATCAGAGTGAATCTTACATGATGTAAATTTATTCATAATTTTTTTGTAGTCTTTTTTGATTTATTGATTTTGAAAAACTTGGTTTCTGTAAAGGAACAATTTTTCTAATGCTTCTATTTTCTTATATTTAGGGGCTCACTTTAGAGATGGAACTCTTACTGGGTTGTTGGAAAGGTCATTTTTCTACATAGAAAAATGTGTCGTGGCTTTCCTGAAGACCCAGTAGTAAAAGCCCTAAAGAGGGCAGCCTCGTAACCTAGTGGCTAAGGAAGCTGGATCTCACATAGCCAATTGCGATGCAAATCCCAGTCCAGCACCGTGAAACATGCTGGCCTCTGTACACACATGCCCCAAATCCAGATTGGACACAGAAATGGAAGAGAGGATTCGGATGTGACTATGCCCAGTTGAGGGGTACTTTCTCCTTCTCTCTGTCTCTCTGTATTTCTCTGTATCTCTCTGGTGAACTCATATACCCTCTGCCAATTAAAAAAAAAGAAAGGCTTCTAAAGAACACATTTACTGTATTTTTTTATCAGAAGAATTTTAAATTCAGAATGAACACTTTTACATCAGATGGATTTTTAAAAATTTAAATAGTCTTCTATAATTTACTGGTTTCAAAATGTCATGCTTTTGTATGGTAGACTTAAAGGGGAACATGTCTAATATCCTGTTGGCTTTATGTTAAGACTGTTAAAGTATCCAGTGGAAGAAAGGTATGGGTACTTTCCACCATTTGATCTAAAGCTCTATTTGATTTAGGTAATCTGGAAAAATATGTTGGATATAATATTAAAAATGAGGGTTTGTTCTGATGGAGTCACAGTATCCTAATGGCAGTAATAGGGTGTAGGACTGTTTCCATGTTTGATTAGGGCAAGCATATGAAATATTGCTCTTGTAACTGATCATAACAATGTATTTTTTCGGGGAAATTTTAATTTCAGGGTTGGTATTTCGTTTTTGTTGAGCGTTCAGCTATTTCACAGCTTCTTAAAAAATCTATTTCAAGCATTTCTTTTTCCTTCTGAACAGTTTCCCAGTATTTAATTATTAAGAGAACACACAATATGTAGAACAAATTCATGTGTACAATCCCAGAAATGTTATATTCTTATTTGCATTACAATCTTATTTATGTTGGGTAAAATCCATGTATTTCTCTCAAATTTCTCTTTTCCTCGCTGAGCCTCTTAGCAGGGAAGCTACACATGATATTGCAGGCATGTTGTTAGGAATATTAAAAAGGTTAAGAGCCTCAAGCTAAAGAATTATGTGGAAAGAAAGCACTCAACGTGAACTGTCAATCTGTCCTCTTTGCATTTCAGGTTCTTTCACTTTCTTGTTGGCAATACCTTGGCAAAAATGCAGTTCTTTTACCTGCCATTTTTATCAGTTTTTTAAAAATAATCTTCCAAGGTTTTGTTTGAGTTGACAGGCCCTGTGCTTAATATCAAGTTTTGAGCATTTTCCTTCTTTCTCTAGAATGTTCCACTCCCTCAGACAAGATTTTAGTTTGTTCTTGCCTTGTTGGAAGTAGCAACAATTGAAGAGTTGCCATTAAGCCAAAATCAGCCTGAAATTGCCAATGGTTGCCTGAAAGAAGCAATTTCCTTTCCCCACAAGGTGATTGCAAAGAAGCTAGAGAGCCTGCATCTCACAGGCCAAATCAGGAGGCCTTGTGAACGTCAAAGACCTCATCTTAGTGAGATTTGCTGTATCAGCCTATCAAACAAAGGAATAGCTGGAATAAAATTAGGCTTGCTATGAATGTAAATTTTCTGCGGATAACGAAAGATCACAAAATAGCAAAACCTCATAAAAAAATGTGTCTGCATTTTACTTTTTCTAAATATAAACTTGTACATATCTGTATTCAAAGAGGCATATATCCTTACCTTTATTTGTAAAATGCAAAAATTATGATAATGGCTAAGTTAATAGTAAAAACAATCATTGTTTTGCAAAGCATATGAGAAAGAATGAAAGAATAAGACAGAAAAGAATTATGTATGTGTTGTGATTTAGACTGTTAGAAGAAGTTTATAAAGTCTTTAACTTAAAATGGGTTTATTTTTGAAGAAAGCACCAGAAGGACCAAGAAGCATACAGGGGATTATTAATCGTTGATTAGTTTAGGAGTGAAAGCTGGTGCCTGGGGCTTAGCCTTGGAAAGCATGAACCCCTCTATGATGATAGCCCCTGCTGTAACTATCATTAGATAGAAATATCAAGACGATCA